CACCTCCGCGCGCTCCCCAAATGAGTCCTTGAACAGTTGCAATGTCCAACGTGTTCTGCGCAACAAAGTCGTCCGCGCAACAACATTTTGAGACAAACCGAGAACCCAACAGAAACCACCCTAGCGATAGAATCCGATAGAATGTGAGAGCGGTACCTGCCAGTTCTGAAATCCATGCCAAACTCAAAGCTACTGAAGCACGGCCGCAGCTGCTGTTTTGACTGCCTGAAATCTATCCACAGATCTAGTTCGATCAAACAATGGATAGAAAGTTCCCGGTTGGACTTCACCAAGCGAGCACTGGCACTAAGACTGCTAACCACGCTCTTGGAAGCAAGTGTCTGCAGGACAGGATGCCCCAGTTAAAGGCAACAGAACGAACACCGACAAAGTAAGTTCCCCTAGGGTGGGGGGGGTGTGGTACTTCTTTGACTGAGATTCCAACTCTGTTGGAGCTGCTACTTCTTTGAAGTAGAGCGTCACGGCTTTGAGTTCGGCTTGTAGCCAAAATGCGAGTCCGAATGGATCTCAAAACAAACGTGAACAAGTACACTGCTAGTTCTGAAATCCATGCCAAACTCAAAGCTACTGAAGCACGGCCGCAGCTGCTGGTTTGACTGCCTGAAATCTATCCACAGATCTAGTTCGATCAAACAATGGATAGAAAGTTCCCGGTTGGACTTCACCAAAAAATTCTGGGAACTAAACCCGCTAACTTCCACCAAAGATCTGTGGGTTTAGGCAGTTAAGCGCGAAGCCAGGAAGGCTTTCTGGAGCTAGGAGCAAACTTAGGCGAAGGTTGAAAATGCCACAACTGTTGAAGTGAAACTCTGTAACGTGTCTCAGGAGTGAACTGCGGTGGCAGGATGGAAACGCCATCCCAGCGGCTCAGCATGTCCGCTAAATCGTTGCTGCAGCCCGGCACATGCTGCGTGTCCAAAATGAGATGGTGTTTGGACAGCAGCAGGCTGATTCTTTCAAGAAGGAAATTCATTGGATACTGTGTACTGAACAAGGAGTTCAGACGAGCCTCAGCACCTGTGTTGTCAGTGAAGCTCGTGATCTTCCAATTCAATCTGCAGGCAGAATGAGACTGAACCAAACAGTGTAACAGCGCAAACTGTGCCAGCGTTTCAATAAATGAAATGCTCTTTTGCAGATCCATGTCCAGCTTGAGCGGCAGCGCTGCAAAGTGACTATGCTGGAAAGTCTCTGAAAACCAGCACATGCCGTTCGGTCCTTTCAGAAAACCGCCAACGCCGCAAACTGCCCCATTCGCACAAGCGTCTGCGAATGCTGCCCCAGGCCACAAGGGCTTGGGTCTCATGGATAGCAGGGGCGAATCCCAGGAAAGCCACTGCTGCAAAAGGTCCAAGGTGCTCTTAGATTCCTGGGACAACCTACGAGTCGTGGTGGTGGGATCGCGGATGCGCATCCAGATCCTGCGATCCGTGATAGGCACTGATTTAACTTCAGCAAGGGTGGTGACTGCACGGTGCCTCACTGACACGAGCTTGCTCCCAGGAAAAATCACGGTACCCCTGAGCGTGGTGGTAAACACTAAGGCGTCATCTAACGCTGTTTGCAAGGCAAGCCAGTCGTCGGGTCCACAGCTAAACTGCGTGTCTACTGGCTTTGCAAGGTCAGCATACAAATGGTGCAGGTGAATGCGAATGGTGGGGAAAAGACTGGTACACCACATAGCCAGTCCTAAGCTTTTTTCTTGAGTTTAGTGTGTTGCAATAGGTGGGCTATTCCTGCCCTGAGCTTGGCGCGTTTGGACTCGTGTAGTCTGACGAGGCCGGCTCCAAAGTCAAAGGACCAGCCAATCCAAGTCTGGATTGGACCCAAACTGCATTTCGTCCAGCTCACTGGAACCTGAAACACTTGGCACAAGAGGCAAAGGAAAGTGGCATGCACTGGCAAGACCACTGTTGGCGAAGTAAGTAGAAAATCATCTACAAACAAAAACAGCGCATGCTTGGTGTACAAAAATCGATGGAAGAGGCGGACTAGATATGAGCCCATGCGCCCCCACCAATGCTGGCTGAACTTGGCACCAAACGGGCACACTGTATAGTAATACAATTTGCCTCGAAACTGGAACATCAACAGACCTTGCGCTTGTGGGCGCTTTTGATGTCCAGGCCGAATGCGCTTTGGGGCTCTGGGCATTCTCGCAATGGGAAAGCTCGAGTGACATCTAGAGCCGTTGGCATGGTCTGCTTGTCAGGCACGTGGCATGAATGGTTCGTGCCTGAGACTGTGGGGTCCATCACTAATCGAGGAGGTCGAGCATCTGAGAAAGCGACGGACAGCTTGCCTACAGCCAGGCAATCTGGCCATTGAGACTGGGCAGCGGCCAAGTCTCCGTCGAAACATCGAACCCAGCCCTCAGCTATTTCCTTTTGAAGTAAGCCACTGACAATGTCCTCATGATCTTCTGCTGACTGCCAGTTGGTCAGATGGACTGACAGATCAGGGGGCGCAGAGGCTGAGTCATCAGGCGCTGGCCCAAACACATGGCTGGGGGGAATGTCCTTTTTGAACCCTGTTGGGACGCCGGCCCATAAGGCCGGCCACAGGGCCACATCTGGATCTTTGAGAAGCTCTGCAATGGCCTGCAAGGCGTGAAGCGCAAAAGGCTGGCTTACAGGGATACTCCAATCTAGATGTTTTTGGGTCTGATGAAAATACCAGTCATCCAAGGATTGCTTGAAAGGTGCTAGTTGGGCTTCAGTGAAAGGTGGGTGGGTCACTTGATTGAGACTGAAAGCGCACCCTTAGTTGCTGAGGCAGTCTGGCACTCAAAGCCAGTTGAGTCCAAGACTGTCGCAAAGATTGGAAATCATTGTGTGGGGTTTCAGGGCGACTCCAATCGGCCCAATCAGGGGGCGATGGGATCCCACCCCCGTCAACTACGGCTCGAGGAGATTTCACAGGGACCAATGCCATCGCTGTGGAAATGGTGAGAGGTGGTCCTCGGCTTAACAATGGTTGGATCAAGCTGGCCACGGCCTGAGCCAGGGCGTCAGGGTACCTAGCAGTCTTCCGGCTTAAGCAAGAGCCGGAGGTCTCCGTAGCCCAGCCATTGACTGGTGAGCAAATGTGTGGTCACAGGTTGCAGCCAAGGTTAAAAGTTGGGGGTGAGTTCCCGCAAAAAGCCACTTTTTTGACCAGTCCAGGCCGAAAGCACAAGCTGGAATTTCAGCGATATTGCAGGCATGATTATACACCCAAAATTCAACGGCAGGCTCTTGCCATGAAAACGCATTGGGAGGCTGCGCCAGGTGGCCCATCCCTCCGGAAGCCGTTGCAGCCTCCAAACAATGAACACATCTTGTGAGCAAAGTGCGGGATGAGACCAAGCGGGCTGTTTCAGAGCTACTGGGGTTGGGAATTCCAAGGGGGGATTCTGGTGTGCGAACAGGCGCGGGCCCCGGCTGACGAAGCTCAAGTCTGCTGTATTCCCCACAGGACGGGGCAGCACACACATAGGCGCAGGCGCCTGAGGCTGCCAAACGCAAAATGCGTTCATAGTGCAAATCATTCAACAAGTTGTGGTCGGGTGAAATCAGAAGGTCAATGGCTAAAGCATGAAGACCCATTCGGGTCAAAGCTGAGGTGATTGGTGAACCGGCTCCTGCGCACAAGTCAAGACAAAACCGTCCTGAGAGTGTCGAGGGCTCAACTGCTGATGGATCCTCCCTTGCAGGCGGAACTGGCCATGGAATGGCAGCAACTGGTGAATCCGCAGGCTCAGGCGTGACTTCATGCACGTCCACTACGTGACTGGGGGGACTGTCGACAGCCAAGCTTTGCCCCCCTGTTGCCTGGCTGTTTCAATGCGGCACAGAGTTATGGTGAATGGCCGCATGTAGCTTGCCGCAGGGCATATTGCCCACTGCAACGCAACATGCATGAGTGTATCTGCAATTGGGATCATGACAAAGGCCTTGGTTGTAGCGAAGGCACAAAGTATGATCTTTGCCGTCTTGATACATCTTGGTAAGCCATTGCTGCTTATGCGGACTCTGGCCCTTGTATTTGCCCTTGCTTTTGCCCTTGGTCCCCTTACCCTTTCCTTTGGGGGCAACGCTCATTGAAACTTGCTTCTGCTGAGGGCGAGGCTGCAAAAGGGCCTCAATGTCGCCTCTGACTTCTGTGAGTTCGTAGATGGCGTCGTCGAGGGTCCAAGACCTGAGATTGTAAAGGTCTGCAATCTTGTTCCAAATCTCATGATCCGCGGCTTGCATTTCTGCTGTGTTAGGAGACCTCAAGTTGGAGTCAGGCTCATAGCGGTGGGTCGCGAGTCTGACAAACTTGGCGACATAGCTTTTGAGCACATGCAAGTGGGCCCCTTTACAAAGGGCAATGGCGACCGCTTGCAGGGTCAGGATCTGCGTCAGCTGAGCTATCCCAAGTTGGGCGGGGAGCTCCCTGGATGGCACATCATCCAAAATGAGGTCCTGCACCGACAATGTCTCAAGTTTGGCTATTTTCTTTGGCCTTTGAGACGTGTGGGCATCATGCTGGTGTTGCGACAACCTTAGTGACCAGGGCACCCACTTCCATTCACGCTTAGATAACTGGCTGGAAGTCAAAGCCATCATGCGGGGACCCGGCAACGAATGAGAGTCCAAAATCTCTGAAGGGTAAGCCGACTCATAGTCCAATTTGAGTTGACGAAGACTGTCTGAACTCAGCTTGGGCGGAAAAGTCTCAGACCAGCCATTGCTTTGGGGTGGCCCCGGGGCCGATGCTGCAGGTTGCGACGCATCAATGCTGCTGCTTGCACAGGGCTGGCAAAAAACCCAGAGTTGCCGTACGGCCGCTGATTCACGGCGCTCTAAGGCACGCCCCAGGTCTGTTGCAAACTGTTCCAAAATGGAATCCAGGCTTGTCAGTGACACTGCAATCATGCCAAAGCTCCCTAAATCGAAGTCCTCGCTAATCAAAAGCTGCTGCAGGTCTGCCGGCACTTTAAACCGGTCCAGTGCCTGAGTGAAGGGAGAGTCATCCGCATGGTTGCTAGGCGGCGCAGGCGGATCCATGATGGATCGAGTTGCAACGCTTGAAAGAAAATGACAAGTTGGAGATTTTAGTTGAGAAGTCATGAACAGATCTTGAGAGAAAGCTGGTGTAAACGAGATAAACAGTCATGGTTGAGGAGTGATGTTAAAAGACTTTGAGTGAAAGACAAGATTATCCTGGAGCCAACGGACAATAGAAGGAAAGTGAAATGCAGCAAGTGGTCCTGAAGGGCGTGATGCCCCAGCAACGCGACAGTTGCAAGCAAACCCAAAAATGAGTAATGGCTGACAGAAGCTTGCTCAGAGGTCTCATGAACCCTCGAAAAATGGTGTTCCCCCATGGGCGGCTAGAACAGAAAGGGAAATCAGGCGAATGTTGTCACAGAAAAGAAGCGCACAAGGTTGATTTTTCACTCGCCCTCATAGTGCTCAAAAGTGCTGATGCAGGCTCGACGCATGCATAACCGTTGATCGGTCAGGTGGTCAGCTAAAATAGCTGATGCAGTGTGGGCGCCACACTTTGCTCTGAATCCCCCCTTCATGGAGGCATCTGCAATGGCCACATGGGCAATCTTTGCTGTACACAGGTATTTGACAGAATTTGTCAAAAGTGCGGCCCCCCCCATAACTTGATAGGGGTCTTCAGTTGCAGGCTCTTGTAAGGGAGAGTCAGGGGGTCCTGAGGTCTCCACCGGAGTAGGGATTGGTGATGCTGGCTCAGGTTGAAAAGTGTACAACCCGAAAGTGATTCAGATGCAATTCCGTTGACAAACTCCGGGGAGGAATGTCAAAAGGCATGTCGATTACAGGTGGTTGGCCCCCCCTCGATTGTGGCGTTGCTGGGCGCCAACCTTGTCGAATCTGTTCGTGGATGATTTTCTGATTTCTGAGGCTGGGAAAAACGTCATCCCGGCTATAAAGGCGGACACTGGGCGCAAAAGTGTGGTGTCCTTGCGAAGCACGATCTGCTGGGGGCACATTCATTTGCGCCAACCAACTCAAAAAAGTTGACTTCGTGCTGTGCAATGTGAATGCTTGTTCGGATCCCCGATTTGCACGATGCGATGGGCACAAACTGACACAATGGCGGAGTAGCTTAAGAGCCTGACAATATGACAGCGGGCCTTGGTACTTGTCCTGATCGAGGTGCACAAAAAGGCAATCGGGTACCAAGTCAGGTCCATCCGTCTTCAATTGAGACCAAATGTCATCCAAGAGTTTGATCCAAACAACAATCCAACTTTGTTGCAAGCAATTCGCGTTGGAGGCTAGACCTGAAAGGCGGACACCAAAAGACATGCCACTTCTAGAGGTTTTTGTGCGACAAGAGGCCTCTCACGCATGCGTCATCCAGGATCAGGTCAGTCCAACGGACATGCTGTGCGTCTGCAAATCTCAAACTGCTCCAAATACATGTGAGTGCGGCCCCCATGAAGAGACGAATCTGCAGGGGGTGCTTGCCAAGGTGAATGCATTCTTCCCAATGGAAGACAATCGAAGCTGGCAGTGGCATAGCTTCCTTACGCTCATGTTCAGCATACGATAAAACTGACAAGGGTGGTGCAAACAAGTCTGGGAAGGGTAGTTGAAGAAGCTTCGTGCCCCACCGAAGCGCCTTGATATGCGAGAGAGCAGACACTGAATCGGCAGTCTGCTGGTCAGCCCAATGAAAGGCATCCTGAAACGACCACAGTACATCCAGTACATTTGCCGTGGACAGATTGTCCAAGCCTATGCCCAAGTCCAAAATGCACTGATAAAAATGCAGCAGCTGAGGCAAGTACTTCAACAAGGTGGAGTCTGCAAAAGGTCGGATCAGTCTCTCCAACATGATGTCTTGGACTTTGCTCGCTTGCAACGCAGCCAAGACTGGACTGACTGACCAAGTCAAGAAACAAAATTGACGCCACAATCTCAGTGCTATTTCACGCTGCGCAAAGTGGAATTGTTTTTGAGTTCTGAATATTGGTGGATTCAAAACTGGCCTGGAGGCAAGCGGAGTAGCAACTGGGGTTGCACTCTGCACATGTTGGCTTGGGCTGGCACGAACCTCGAGGGATGGCGTCCAAGCTGGTCTAGTTGATGGATAAGGTTGGCTTCTGCGATTGGACCTGAAAACAGGAGCAGGCAACGGTGATGCTGGTGGTCTTTGAATTCTGGTCGCTGTAGGTGCAAACACTGGGACTGGCAACGGCTGTGAAGATGCCCTAGGAATTCTAGGTCTAATCCATCCGTTTCCACTCCAAGAATCCAAGCGATGCAAAGCTGGGACACGGCGAAAACAAGGTGTTGCAAATGCTGGGCGAATCACACGACTAGCGGTTGTTGCAACATTCCTAAGTGATGCATCGACGGATGCGTGTGGCTCAGCGCTTGAAGCGGCATCCTCATCGGGATCCATCGTGGTCCCAGCTCTGCGCCATCTCTTCACCACCGTCACACGCGGTGTATCCATGGCAAGGCAGCTAGGAGTGAAAATTAGAGAATGCAAACATGAACCCAACAAGGAACAATAGTCAGAAATGCCTAAGCAAGCATGAAAGTGCAATGAGAAACTGAAGCTCTGTTGGATCAGCAGGAGCTACTTCTTTGACTGAGATTCCAACTCTGTTGGAGCTGCTACTTCTTTGAAGTAGAGCGTCACGGCTTTGAGTTCGGCTTGAGCCAAAATGGAGTAGAGCGTCACGGCTTTGAGTTCGGCTTGTAGCCAAAATGCGAGTCCGAATGGGTCTCAAAACAAACGTGAACAAGTACACTGCTAAATCATGTTGGTTGCTGCTTCTTGTTTGGGAGAAGCAACAAACGAACCAGCAGAATAGTATGTCATGGAACCAGGAAACGAGAACCACGTAGAGTGCACCTGCGATGTACAAACAAATTACACCTTCCCACACATCTGAAGGAGCACATAGGGCTTTGGGCAAAGGGCAAAACCAGCAAAAAGAAAACGAAATCTAAGACACTATTGCACCACATTGGCGAAAGAGAAGCGCAGAAGTTGCCCTTGCTTTTTATTGTGCCATCAAACCTACCAGTAATATCATAGAACTTGCACCTGCAAGAACACTTGGTAGCACGACCTGCACGTGACTCGTGGGCGCGTCGTCAGCGCGCGGCTGTATTCCGTGCAGACGGGGCTGGCCCAGACCATGTCGAAGTGCCCCGGAAACGTCGTGTAGTCCCAGCTCCGGATGTCGCACAGGATGGGGCTCAAATTTCGACACGATGTCCAGGGAGACGACCTCCCAGCCCGCCGCCTCGAAGGCCGGTCCAGGTTGAATAAGTGAAAAAACGCATGTTGCTCAGAACACTTGACCAGCCGCGGCCAATTCATCCCAATCCAGCCAAGCAGCGCCGCGCTCCGTCCATCGCGACAAAGCGTCACGGAGCACGGCCCGGCCATCCCGGTGCAAGGCACGGCGGTGCCTGACACAAACCCGTTAAAGGTCCCGCGCACTGCTCCTAGCCTCAAAACACTAAGAACCCACCTTTTTTACCGGGTTGCTTGGGAAGGTTGCACTTTCCTAGGGAACTGCGGTGCACCTAGGACAAGGGGCGAGATGTTCCCCCCCCGTGAAAAACAATGTCGCAAGACAAGCGTGTCCTTGCTTTAAAATGCCAAAGGAGGGCGTGGCACGCGTGCCCACGCCCGCATCAAAGGACCTGCGGGTCCCAAGACGCAATCTGGGCCCTGATGCGAAGCTGAGTTAAGGCATGTTGCACTGCTCCTAGCTTGAACCCAAACATGAAACCCCAAAAGAACAAAGCTCGTCCGAAGCGGCCGCAGTTCTTTTTACCGGGATTGCTGAAAGTAGCACTGTTTCCAGGGCACTGGTGCGCCTGGAACAGGAGGCGCATTGACCCCCCAAAATGTGAAAAGGCAAGACAATGCGTGTCCTTGCATGCAAATGCAGTGCTTGCAGGGCGCGGCATGCGTGCCCACGCCCCAAGGTCCGGAGACCGAAAAGTCCGGAGACTCGAGGTCCGGACACCAATGCAAACCTGGTCCGGAGACCAAAAGGCCCGGAGGCCACCAATGAAAGTGCAGAGCGTCTGCCACCTATACTGGCAGAGCCTTGTATAGGGCAGTGCAGGGTGGGTGGGTGGGTTTCAAATGAAACCGCAGGTTTGGGTCAAGGCTAGGAGCAAAACGGCCAACGCGTAGTTCGATTCACAACATGCCCTAAACACAAGGGAAAAGAAACCCTAAGCGTTAAGGCATGTTGCACTGCTCCTAGCTTGAACCCAAACATGAAACCCCAAAAGAACAAAGCTCGTCCGAAGCGGCCGCAGTTCTTTTTACCGGGATTGCTGAAAGTAGCACTGTTTCCAGGGCACTGGTGCGCCTGGAACAGGAGGCGCATTGACCCCCCCTTCAGTGTTTCAGGCAACCCCGGTATAAGCGAGCCCGCTGGGCCGCAGGCCTCATCACCCGCCCTTCAAATTGGGGTTGTACCTGGCAGGGCAAATGCTAGCGTGGCCACGCACGCTTGGCTGTGAGCAGCCTGTTACGCAGGGTCTGCACTTTTTCCGGTCAGAGCGGCTTGATATATGCGGCTGGCTGACATCGCCAGTTGTTCTGGCTGACAGGGCGACGACGGCCATTTGGTCGCAAGGCATGTCGATGCAAATAAGGCTGGCTAAAGCAGTGACTGAGGCTGCTGCCAAATGCTCCGGGCGCCAGGGCGCGTGCATCGGACACAGCTGAATGCCTAGGCCTGACATCGCTAGGCCTGCAGGGCTGAAGCGTATGCGACTTTCTGGGCGATGGCTGAGTCGGGCCAACCGACCTCTGCCGAGATCGTCTGCCCAATCATTGCACCTTCCTGGAACGTGTGTCGGCTGCAGCAGCACATTATGAGCGTGAGCCCAGAAGGCTGTTAATTGCACGAAGAGTTGCAACGGCCAGGAGGTCGTGAACAACTTGTTAAGGCTTGCTTCCGTTGCGGAATTGTCCGTGCCTGAAG